TAATTAATTATTACAAAAATAAAATAGAAAATTCATTTCAATATAGAAAATGTTAGAAAGAATGAAAATTAAATTTGGAAGAATTTTTCAATTTATTGTAGAACGAATATACCCTCATCCATATGGAATTGATTTATTTGAATGGAATTTAATTATTAATTACATAAAAAAATCAAGATGAAGGCATTAGGATTTAAATTTAAATATTTGAAAAATATATTGGATTTGTCATAATATTATAGAGGTAATACTTTATCAACAAGTTATTAGCAAGTTAACCAATTTTTTTTACATAATCATATATATTATTATTATATAACATTTTCTTGAGAGCTTATTATTCTCTTATAAGTCATTAATTTTCACTTAATAGGAATATAATTGTAAATTGAATTTCAGTAAGTATGCAATTATAAATTAACTTACTATAAGATAATTGTGTACTAACCTAAGATATGTATTTTTAAATCATAATATTTATATTCATTCTAAGTATATCTGTTATAAACTAAACTGCTTAATTAAAGTGATTAATTTTGATAGTTCAATCCGTTTAATTAATTTATAAACAAAATTGCTTCTATATTCAATACATTTTCTAATTTAACATCGGAACGTAAGTGTTGTATTTGTATATTAAATTAAGTAAGTAAATAAATGTAAAAAACTCTTAAAATTTTAACTTTTAATTATAAAAAACATATTATAAACATATAATAATAGTCTTTGTATTTTACGAAAAAATTATCTTGCTTAAGATATACAGTATTCCAAACAAAAATTCAAATTTGAAATCCAGACAGTATGTAAGATATTTTAAGTAACAAATTTAACCATTAATAACATCATATGAATAGAAGTATAATATGTATATCTTTCATACTAATTAATTCATTGTAGTATAAAAATAAGAAATAAATGTAAAGTACAATAAGTTCATACTGTTCATCGTCGATTTTCAATAATATATTATAGCACAGTTTAATGGTTTAGTTCTTTGTATTGTAATACATTTTTATATTTTTATTGAAAAATTAATATTATTTTATTTGGTATATTTTATTACAATTAAAAAAAATTTTAAATTTCAGAAAATATAATTTTATAAATTTCAAAAAAACATAGCGCAATTTGAATTATCAAAAACATCTTTCTTTATAATTTTTATTTTATTTATTCTATTATTTATTTTAACATCTGTTTAGTAAATCAATGAATCGTAACAACCTGATGAAATGATATGTTTGAAGAAATTATGACTTTGATGATCTATTATGAATTTGAATTATTGTTTGATTTATTCTTTAATTGTATTTTTTATATTTTGCTATTTCATTTTATTATTTTTTATGCAAGTTTCTGAGTAACATGTTGGTCCCGATTGTGAGCATGCAATTCTATAGTTGTCTGTAGTCACTGTCCCTACAACCATAAACATCGCGGCTTTATCTGAGCGAGTTTTATTAGCGTCTTTCTATGCCAGGATCTCGTGAATAAGATCTCAAGGAGATCACCATTTAAGTATAAAGATTCTCGCGACTATCACTCAAAAAGTGAATTTTTTCAATAAATTTGCGTTTCTCTTTTCATCTGGTTATTTGTGTAGAGCATTACTAATTATTTACAATCTTTAGTACTTTTTTGTGTTAATTAATTTAAATTAATAAATTTTCTCAAAATTACTTTAAAATATTGATTTTAATATAATAAATATTTATAATATATAAAAGCCTTCAACCAATATATAATATCACTAATCACATTGTATTATTAGTAAAAACTATAATATATAACATAAACTAATCTTTACTATTCAAGAAAATGTATGAAATTCATAGGTATATATTTCATAGGATTATTATTAAATTAAGTAATCGTGATTTTTACAACGGGATGCTTTATAGATTATATATTTCACAAATAAACTATAAAAATGTAGTGAATCTTTAAATTATAGTATAAATGAACTTTTTTTATTTTAGAGAAAAAAATTTTCAATTTATTTATAATTTTTTCAATTACTTAAAATTTTATTTAAATCATAATTGCTATCCCACTTAAAAGTTAAAACTGAAAAACACAAATAATAAAGTAAAGTCTATATTTATTAATAAACAATGCATATTAATATATGTATATTATATGTATATACATCAAAATTATCTGAATAAAATTTATTTTGATATTTTTTTATTAAATACTTATACTTTTGATTATGTATATTTACATAATCGTAATGGTATACATTTACATGACTTCGTATATACATATACATGAAATCTATATACATATGAAATCGTATATATTAACATATAATATTATATAATACTATTTATGTTTAATTAATCGTATAATTATTAGTATACAATCAATTTTTTAATATTTCACATATTTATATATTAAATTTGTTTATATTAGTAATTTGAATTAATTATGGTTCAATTTTCCATATTAGTTATTACAGTAATAAATCATATCATATCATTATGTAATATTCATATTGGTAAATATATTTCTTTCCTCCTATTTACAATTCTTTATTTTAGTTTATATTTTTCATTTGTATTTTTATTTCTTTTTTTTTCTTTTTGATTTGTCTTTAATATTAGAAACTATTCAATAATTCACAGTAAAATCCACACTATTACCTAGGAAAATTTTTCATAACAAATTTCAATAATAAGTTCACGACCATTTTCTCTCTTTCTATGGGTTTATTTTTGTCCTCTCATTTTTCATTATTTTATGTTATTAAATGGAAAGACTTATTTGTACTAAGATAATTATAATATGTAAAAAATACAAGAAAAAAAAAGAACTGGAAATAATGAACACTAATACTATTATACTATGTAAACACAAATTATTTCTTTGAATATCTATATAATTTTCATATAGTTATATTTTATTATTAATATTTGAACGACTTATATTTAAAATATATATTGAATTAATGATGTGTACTAGAATATGTTTTTTAAAAATCATAAGGAAAATATAAAGAACAATATTGGTTTATTAAAATATAAATATAATTAATTGCTTCAAACATATATATATATACCACTTATATGTTATATTTTTCTAGTTACAAAATATTCTTATATTAAAATTAAGTGTTCAATGAATTACAATTAGGAATAATTGCTAAGATTAATTTTTACGATTATTTGTTATTAATATTTATTAATAGTTATTCTACATGTAAATTGAGTTTGTATCAAAGTGAAAATAATTATTTAACGACTTACTTAGAATATTTATGATATGAAATTTATAAATTTAACATGCTTAAATTAATACTTAACTATTATTTCTATTATTACTTTTGTAATTTAAATATATTAGTTAGATTTTTATATCTTATCCCATCTTTTAAGAATTCTGAATAAAATTTTCATATTTTGTACTCAAAATTTGTCTGAATTAGTAATACAATCAAGTAAATAATAGATATAAAGTCAAAGTTTTATATCAATTCAATTTAAATGCTTTGTTTATTAACCATTATTTAAATATGTACATCCAGCAATGTTTTTGTGTTTATGTAATTATAAAATATATACATCTGTATAAATTATTGCTTTATATAAATATTTCATGTAGTTGATTAGTAAGAGTAATAAAAAGTAGTATCTATATATTTGCCATTTCTGTTAGATATATATATATTTTGCATTTTTATTACTCAACATTTTTATTTTTATTATTTTGTTACTTTTGACAAAAATAAGTAATTTAAGTTTGCAAATTGTGATAAAATTTCAATATAGTTTTTGATAAAAAAAATTAAATTAACATTTACCAACCATGTTTTTAATACAAATAATTTTTTACCATATACTTAATTTTTATATATAAAATTGAGAATGTTAAGAAATCGATAAAATATAGTATTAAAAAATAAACAGTACATATTCATAAATTCGATATTTAATAATATAAATTAGTTTAGCTTTTATCGTGACAATGCATTGCAGATGATTGCATTGTAAGCAAAATCTTTTCTTTATTATAATTTTATTAAATTGAAGAAATCTAGAATACTTCAATAATAATTTTATTAAAATAGTAGTGTACATAGAATTTTGAATTATAGTTAATTCTAAATTTAATTTTCCAAAAAAAAAAAAAAAACAAAATATTACTCGATCATAATTATTAGAATATATTTTATCATACAAAAGTATTTAAAACTTCAGTAAATATCATTATTAATTTATTAAAAACACTTTATTTTTTAGTATAATATACTACTCATAAAAAATGTTTGTTATAACTGAAATTTTGTATATGTAGAATAATTTTTGTATTAATTTAAATTTTTAATGTTTTAATTTCTTGTTTAGTTTAGGAATTATTTAACATTTCATATAAAAAATTTGTTTCTATAATATACAATTAAATTTTTCCAATTTTATTGTACAATTTTCTTTATATTATATACACACATTCAAATACTTCCATTACGATAGTAAGAAATACACATTTATTAATTTATAAATTATTATAAATACATATTAGTTGATCGATCGTATGATAAAAACTGGATATAAACAAAAAATATTGTTGAAATTTATGGACTGCATAACAATAGAACTGGTTTCAAGAATAGAAAAATTTAGATTCTGAGATCAATTTTGGGATTTAATAAAATTTAACACAATATATCTCATATAAATATCATTATATTTTTGAAATTACAAGTCAATAAATAAGTTTTTTTAATTATATATACAAAGCGAAATAGAAAGTATGTGAATATTTCTAAGCAGATATAATATTTTCAATACAATGTTAGACAAAATATTATATTTTTGTACAATTGTTCAAACCTTAGTATAGCATTGAAAATAAATTATAAAGGTTATGTATTGCAATAATAAAGCTATTTGGCAGTGGTATTTTATAGCAATTTAAAATATATATTTCAATGTCTGAAAAATTTTTAATTTATAGTCCACCGTCGCTCAATATATTTTACCAAGCAAAGTATTTTATATAATTATTTAACACAATTTCCAAAAAAATGAATATTCATAAATTCTATTTATTGAATATGCTTTCATTTTCACTCATGTTATTGATTTCTACCACTTCAATTCTTTTAATACACATTGTTTTATAAAATTTTCTATTTAAAATTATACTAATAACAACGGAAACTTTTTTCTTACGATTTCTTCTTTCAAGGTTGATTTGAAATTCGTAACATAGCTTCCAAATTAAAATGGTTCACATAAAAAAAATTAATGAAACGTACACAACAACAAACAATTCACTTAGGTTGTATATAATAGCACATTTGAAAAGAACATTTATGGCACTATACTAGAATAAAACGCGTGTTTATATATACATACATACTTACATACATATATACACACATATATGCGTGTGTCTATGTGTGTTTGCGTGTGTGTATGTATAATTTTTATGCATATCTTTGTAAGACGCGCACAAAGCATCACAGAATCAAAATTCTATCAAAAATTTTTGTAACTACAATTTCTCTAGCGCAGCACTATTCGTTAGCATTTCTCGTGTCAATCTCCAGACTTGTTTTGCAGCATTTTCTAAGCCACTTGGAGATTTTCCTTTGAATAAATCCAGATTAGGTAGAAAATAATGGGGACACCTTCTGCATTGCAAACAAGAGATAAGTTGCAGGAAGATGCCATTGATACGATCGGCTAAACAGATGTCGTCCCATTCGGCCTCATGAGGATGTTTCTCACACTCGTACAAAAGCAAGGTTTTCATGTGATAGCTGGTAACTGGATTCCCAGGTAGATCGAGATGTCGATCTCTAAGTGTCTTTAATATACTTAGACATCGTCTTCTGCTTGCACCTTGTAATAGTCTATTCTCTGCATCCCAGAACGAGAGCGCCCAAGCATCACCCTCCATAGCTGATTGTTTGCCCTGTAACCCAATACACTCTTTTGATAACATATCAAAACCCTCTGTTTTAACTTCAGCTACGAGGTTCGGATGAGGCCAAGGTATGTGTGGAATTGGCCAATGCGCTGCAGATCTTGGCCATAATCCTTGACACTTAAATGCCGGTGTTAGTTGCACCACATATCGTTCACGAATCCTTAGTTTAACTTCTGTCGTATCAGCAATCATCTTCACTGAATCTCTATAGGCACACTTATCACAAGCTTGAGCCACTAACGTTTGAAACCGAGAACGAATCTTACGGGCTGATAAATATCCCGAAGCCGTGATGAATTCGACCCAAAGGGACATCGACCTTTTACGACCATCGCTCAACTTAAGAACGGCGCAGCCCGGCAGGGTTCCATCGTCCACGAAGTTCAATACACCCATCTGATTTAGATAGATAACAATTTCAAATTCTGTAGGTGAGATCACGTCAAGACCATCGAATCTGCCATTGTAATCGGTGAGCGAGGGTATGAATCGAGGTTCTTGTACTTCCACCTCTTTCAGAACATCTTGAACTACGCGACAAACCTCCTGAATAGTTTTAGCAACTTGATTCTTACGAGACATTACACGCTCGCCAAAGTACTTATTAAGCTGATAAACCATTTTTGATTGGGCAGTCAGCATTTCCGCTGGAACCAACATCTCTGTGTCTGTCTTTTGTTAACCTTACCTTCTATTAGTTTGCGTATTAGCTAAATCTTCACCTCATGCTTACTTCTTGTATGTTGTTTTATTTATATCTTCAATTACATGATTATACAAAGAATTAATATAAAAAATACAATAAGATTCTTCCTCACTTCCAAAATTAAGTTTTTTTTCTATTGAAAGTCTTTTGCAAAAATAATGAACTTTCAGAAAAAATTAAAAATTTTCATTTTAATCGCGGTAGTATTTATTTTTCAATGACAAGATTCTATGGCGAGAAAGAACGAATTGAGTGGAAACACGATTTACTCCTGCTTGTTCTCTCGACTCTAGTGTGGAGCGCAAACTGCGCCAACATTTACCACTACTGCGTTGTATCTTTAGACAGCAGGTGATCTGCCGTTGGTACCGCCCCTTTCAAGTTCTGAACTATGCCGCGTGTCTTACTGGATTTGTCGACCAATCACACGAGTTGGAAGGGGGGAGCTTGGAACAAGCCGCACCCTTCGAATCCTCGCATCGATCCAGTGAAGTACCTTTCTACCCCGCTCTTATGCCACTAAGTGAGCAAAGTAGCGACTTTCCTAAAGATGGAAAGGGAACCTTACAATGAATTTTATTGTCAGTAGTAATAATAATAGTTGTGTGGTTGTCATTGATGTAATTGTAGCAGTAATTGAAATGGTAGTTGTGGCGATCGTAGTAATAGTTTGAGGAGTAGCAACGGCGGTGCTAGTTATAGAATCAGTTACAGAGGTGGCGATGATGGAGATACAGTAGCAGTAAAGTAATGTTAATAATAGTAGTAGTGGCGGATGTTTTCTATTGCTGTTATTCATAGATATTTTTATGAATTTAATTTTGTAAAATTATCTGCATATAAATATTAATTTCAATTCTCAAATAATACATGCAATTTTCAAATTAAAAAAAATATACATTAACATCTCTTTATGTAAATTTATTTAACACAATTTGTATTTAATATGATAGTTTTTGTATTATTTTCACTCTACACCTTTTGCCCATTTTTTAATCCGAAAGAAATCTTTTGTAATTTATATATATATATATATATATATATATATATATATATATATATATATAGCACAAGTTGGTAGTAAATTATTTAAAAACATAATTATTAAATAATGTTAGGTTATATGTAATATTGGAATTCGTAACAAATTTAATAAAATTTCGACAAAACAAGTCGAATAATAGTTAATTAAATATCTGTTAAACTTCAATTATTATAACAATGTATTTTATTTCATTTTGTAACATCTACTTTGTTCATTTTTAAATTTTCACTGGAATGAATTATACAGTTGTATATTGAAAAACTATTATTTTTGTAAATTTTTATGATAAAATATGAATTTTAAATATGATTAGTAGCTTCAAATAAATTATAATAAGTATTTAAAATTTAAAAATAATAGAAAAAGTATTACGAAGAAAAAAATAATTGATATATCAGTTTCATAATTTATACCTAATTAATTGTATTCATTTAAATGTAGATGAATAACTCATTTATATAAAGAAAATTTGTTTATGTTTATCAAATTATCATTAATTATACTTTTATACAATATCTTTATGTTATCATTCTCATAATCCTCATTGTAAACTAAATTACATAAATATTCTCGAAAAATTATAAATACTTATTTTTCGTAATCCCATCTTATGTAGTAAATTGCATTTCCTGCAATTACGAAATACAATAACAAGACCTACGAAATGTATATAAGTACAATATTTTAATACGTAAACTTTATAATACATTACATTTAACTATTGATCATTTTGGTTTTATACTTATTTTATGCATATATAAACAAAAAATATATGTTAATAAATAATCACTTTTTAGTACCCATAAAATATAACTAAATTTCATTGAATAATTCTCAATTTTTCTTGAAGATTTTGCTTACTCTTTATCTTAAATCAATTAGATAATTAAGTTTTAATTGATACATCCTTAATAAGTATAAAACAAAGTATTTTATTATTATTTATTTTATTATTTATTATATATTAATATATAATAAATATGAAAAAATATTATATAGTTAAAATAACAACATTGAATAAACTGTAGTGTACAATCTTTTAAATGAATAATACAGTACAGTTTAGACTTACTCTGGATGATTAACTATCTTAAAAATAATTTACAATGAGATACTGTATGTTCACATATAATTGTTTTGTTTTTTTTTATAGAAAAAATATTATGTAAACAAAAATTTTGTAGATAACTATTTAAAACATAGATTTGTGACTAATCAAATATTCAATTATAATATTTAATAAATGTGTTTATTTTTATATACAATATAAATCTTAATGAAGAATTTAATGACATATAAATATAAATATATAATTTAAATAAAAATATAACAACGCTATGTATTTAAAATAATTAATAAATCAAAATAAAGATGAGAAGGCATATCTTCTTAAATAAGAAATAATGCAAATTGATTTAATAATAACAAATATTTATAATATGTAAATAATATAATCATCACAACTTCTATTATGTAATTAACATGTATAAATGAATAACAATTAATATTATTTATTCATAATTCATAAATTAATTATAAAGAGTTCATTTCATAACGTTTATGAACAAAAATAAATAAATGACCTTTATAAAATTCAAGTAATATATTTTTACGAAATTATGACCTCAAGATTTTTACAACAAATTATTTTTTGTATAAATTTAATGAAACTGAAATTCATAAGAACATGCTATTTTCTATTATTTTTATTGTATGCTACTTTGAATTTGAAAAAATATATGAAATTATTTCATTGTATAATGTATTGCAAATAATTTTCTAAAATTTAAAACGAAAAAAAAAATATATCGCGATTTCATTTATTTAGATTTAGTATTTTATTTATAGTTTTGAGTATATTTTTTTAATTATCAGTATTTATTTTTTAATTTCGGCTTTTTCAGTTTTTAAAAATTATTTCGGGTAACTATAAAATATAATGAAAATCAATCTATTTTAATAATAAAAATTTTCATTTTAAACTTGAAAAGACGAACGATTCAAATTCAATTCAAATAATTCAAATCGTGTAATGCTAAAGTTTCTCAAGAGCTCGACTATTCATTAATAGCTCCCTTGTCAATCTCCATACTTCTTTAGCCGCATTTTCTAATCCATTGGATGATTTCCCTTTGAATAAATCTAAATTAGGTATGAAATAATGTGGACATCTCCGACACTGTAAGCACGAAATGAGCTGTAAGAATATCCCATTAATACGATCACCCAAACTCGAGTCGTCCCATTCCACCTCTAATGGATGTTTTTCACATTCATAGAGTAACAATGTTTTCATGTGATAACTGGTAACTGGATTGCCTGGCAAGTCAAGATGTCGATCCCTTAATGTCTTTAAAATACTCAGACATCGTCTACGACAGCCTCCTTGAAGCAGCCTCGTTTCTGCCTCCGTAAATGACAATACCCACGCATCTCCTTCCATAGCTGATTGTTTACCTTGCATCGCTATACTCTCTTTTGATAACAAATCAAAACCTTCGGTCTTTACTTCGGCTACGAGATTTGGATACGGCCAGGGTATTTGAGGAATTGGCCAATGTGCAGCCGATCTTGGCCAAACGCCTGTGCATTTAAAAGCTGGCGTAATTTGAACAACATAACGTTCACGAATCCTTAGCTTTACTTCTGACGTATCTACAATCATTTTCACTGAATCTCTATAGGGACACTTATCACAAGCTTGAGCCACTAACGTTTGAAACCGAGAACGAATCTTACGGGCTGATAAATATCCCGAAGCCGTGATGAATTCAACCCAAAGGGACATCGACCTTTTACGACCATCGCTCAACTTAAGAACGGCACAGCCTGGCAGGGTTCCATCATCGACAAAATTGAAAACACCCATTTGGTTAAGGTAAAGTACTACCTCGAATTCGCATGGCGAAATTACTTCGAGTCCTTCAAACCGTCCGTTGCACTCAGTTAAAGAGGATATAAATCGAGGCTCTTGAATCTCTACCTCTTTGAGGACGTCCTGCACCACTTTACAGACTTCACGAATTGTCTTATGAATTTGATTCATGCGTACCTGTACCTTTTCTCCGTAGTATTTATTTATTTGATACAGCATCTTTGATTGTGCCATTGCAGATGGAGGCACGAGTAACATGTTTTAATTAAAGCTTAAAAAACACGACTTTCCAAATTATAAAAATCTGGAAATGAACATTATTAAACATTTGCTTATGAATATCAAAATATTATATATATATATAGAAGCTAAATATTGTATTTATTATAATCATCGTAGTTCCAATTTTTCTTGGATAAATGATTGCACTATAAGCAAATGCAACGTGTATGTATGAGGTTGAAATGTGCAACATTCGTTCTTGTCGAAAGGGAAAATCAGACTTGCGCAAGGTATAGAACATACAGTCACGTACTCGGTGTTTTCTCCAGTCGTGTCGCGCCACGACAGAGTTCTGCTGAGTGTAAGCACTGAGAGACGACCGGGTACACCGCTGCTGTTTCAACGGCTGTTAACGCTCTCTCTGTGTGTGTGTGTGTGTGTGTGTGTGTGTGTCTCTCTCTCTCTCTCTCTCTCTCTCTCTTGCTCTCTATGCGGTTCTAGTACTTTGATCAAGATGCCAAGTCCCGCCTTACTGAGCTTGTATATTTAGATTCATCTGCGCTTGCGCACGTTGACCACGCCCAGCTCGTAGTAGGTAAGAGAGGGAAACTAAGTCGAATATAGTGTCCACCTATATTAAGTTGTGATCATAGGGATAGATTATCTTTCCTATGTCCTATTCCTTTGTATAGGAAAATGTTTTTTTCTTCATAATATTTAAGCAACATATATTTAATTTGAGATATATATATTATAGTTGATAAAATATTACGTGTCTCGAAGCGAATTATTACAAAAATATTTATATTTTAATAAAAATTATATATGATACATTATATTAGGTCCAGAAGTATTGTAAATTTGATTGATATACAAGAATCGGCTAATTGAAGAACATATTCAATTAAATAAAGAATAAAACATGCTGCAGAAATATACAATTCATTTTCAAATAAATAGTTAAATATAGAATTTTTTTTTTATTCAGATAATAATTTTAAGTAATTGTAAATATATATTTTATCGTTTAATTGTATATAATAGGTTTCAAATCTTAAATACTAATAATATTTTATATTTAATAAATGTGATAATAATATTGTAAATTTCTCTTATTCTACGAATATCAAGCTTAACATACATTAATTGTTTGCATTTTTACATTTGAATAGTTTTATTCAGATTAATAAATTGAATATAGAACACATGTCTAAATTATAAATATACTTTATATTATTACAAATATTAATAAAGATTTATGCAATATTGTTTATCAAAAATGATTATCAGCTTATTATAGATATTAACTTCAGTATTGTTTTTATATATATTTAAACTATAATGCGTTAAATTTGTAAATCTTATTTGGAATTGATAAATCATTGAAAATATATTTTCTATTTCACATCTGTAATACATCGATCTTATAAATCTATTAATATCATTACTTTTTCACATTTAGCATATCCTGAATATTTATTAGTTCAAAGTTGTTTAATTTTGAATGATTAAATACGATGAAAATTTTAAGAATTGATTTCTTGTCTAAAAAACATGTTGATAATTATGGCATTGATAAATATTCTAATAATTTATTTATAATTTCGAAAATTAAATGGAAATGATAACCTTTTATATTAAATTTAAAATGATACTGTTTAAATTATTAAATATATGTATTACTAAAGTTATAAAATATTGCTTCTAATGAAATATATATATTATTTAAAATAATTGATATGATCATTATTATTACATTTTTATTAATATCATAATAATTAATTAGTCACTACGATTACATTAATTTTAGTAATAAATAATATTAAAATATTCTACAAAATTGCATTCTAAAAAGAATGCATAGCCCTATTTGTGATAATTTTTTTGTGATAATTTGTGATAATTAGTTTTTTTAAATGATAAAACCAAGATACAATTAAGATAATAAAATAAGTAAATTTTTATTTTTATTTTAATATTTGTATATTACATACCCGAAGTTTTATAATACAAAATAATTTACAGTTTTCCCTTACAAAGTATAAATTTTTATCACAACATTCATTTATTAAAGGACTTTTTGTTCATGGGTAATTGAATAAAGCTTGAAAATCCAATCTACTCGAAGTTCCAGCAGAAGATTGGTGCCCGAGCTTCCCCTTCTATTCCACTTTCCTTCCATCCTTTTGGCTATCTATGCTTTTACTATGTAATTTATATTTTTGTCTCATTCCCTCGTTCTAACTAATGTGACTTGATTCATGAGAGTAACACCCGTTACACTCGACGAGCTCTCCAAGGGGTCAAACACTGTGCTGCCGCGTCTACATTTCCATCCCTCTATTGGGATAAAGTAACGCCAGGACGCATTTTCTACGTTCCCAGCCCTAAACGTGCCTTTCATCATCCCATTTTGATGTAATTTGGTTAGCCCCTGAATTATTTGTACACTATCCCAACTACCAGGGAAAAGACTGCAAACTCACGTTGATTAGATAATAACATGTCGGCCTAGTCAAATTGAAAATTTATTTGATCTATATTATATTATAAAATATGTAATATTTTTTGTTTAGATTATAAAAAATTATTCTGGTATTATTAATGCAAGACATTTACTTTTATGTTCAATTTATTCAATTATATATCAAGTTAATGATCTATTATGAAATTAGTCATTGATTTATTGATTTTATTGATTTATGTATTTTTAAAATTACAATAAATAAATATAATGGATTTATTTATAAATGTTATTGAATACATTAAAATAAATTAAATATTATAGATATTTTATATTAACAATACTACGTAGTGGTTTTATGAAAGTTTGTCCTTAATATTTAGAGTTAAAAGATTTTAATCGCTTATATAATATTATTAGCTTTATTGATAATTAATTTTTGTTTAACAAACAGTTTATAACTATCATTAGTTCAAATTTTACGTGACAAGAAAGGCTTTCATATAAACTATTTATAAAACTGATTAATTTTTACTTTGTATAATTAAATAGATATAAACAAAATGGATAAATCAAAATTAGTAAATGTTTCATGTTGAACACATTTATATAGTAGGTAGTGACAAATCTTCCATTAAAATAGTTCAAATTTGATAAGAACACGACTACTCAGTTCTACTAATTTTATATTTTCATTTTTTAGCTTGATCGTTTCATTAATTTAAATTTATCATTAACCATTTGCATGGCTTTAAAGATTTTTTTACCTCTCCCACTTTCTTTTATTTTTATTCTCTCTTCACCTCCAGCGACTGATAACATCAGTAAACTTGTATGCACGGTTACGCGTGCGTGTTTTCACCGCTATTTCGTGGAACCGAAAGAAGATAGAGACTTCATGATACTCAGCAGGATGAACACCATTTCTTGGTACTCAAAATACTTTCAAGATTCGCATCATTTAATCTATGAAACATGAAAACTCATACGTCATTAATTGATTTCATAATCCTTTTGTTCTTGGCACAAGATATTAAAAACTTTGATAATATAATTCAAATAGCGTCAATAAAGTACTTAAAATGATTTTTGTAAAGATTTGAAATAATTTTTAACAGTAAACATTGAAATTATTATTATTACAGATTATATTGTATTATAACGATATTTACCATGAGTTATAAATTACGATTTTTAAATAATTAAGATAACATTTTATATTATATAATTATTTATTATATTAAACTATTGTATGAAATCTTATCTGACAGTAACATTCTTACATATTTAAAATGTGTGGAACATTTTTTTTTTAAGTGGCCACGAAATGAAATAATAAAAATGATAGGCCAATAGAATAAACAAATTGTTATTTTTAATTATTATATTATATAGTTATTTATTGTATTATATGAAATATTGAAAATCTTTTAATATTATATTAATTTTTGTAAAAGATTGTTTACTATTTATAAGTATAAATTTTAGTAATTACCTATTATAGATGTAAAATTTAAAAGAAACTAATTTAAAAGATGAAAAGATAACAAAATTTAAATTATTTTATGTTTTATTTTTATTTCTGATTAATGAATATAGTTATGAATTATGGTCATAAAGTAGAAAATTTAATATCAAAGTATTCGTAACTAATTAATAATTAATTTATCATCATTAATATTTTTATTATGCTTACTAAATATTAAAAATTGTATTTGTAAAGTTTCAATTGGTATAATTTGAAAAGCTTTATTAAAACGTAGACCTAATCAACAAAATTAGATGAGTACATATTGAAACATTTTCTATCTTAAAATATTATCTAGAACTTTTTGTAGCAAATAATATAATATTCTACCGAATTATTTATATTTATTATTTATTACTAATATTTAGTATCACGTAAAGTCATTGATCATTAACTAGTTTATTCATTGATAAACACTCATATTTATATCTTAAATTCAAAACGTTTCGGTAAAGAGGCTCCTTCTCTCTCTCCTTCTATTTCTCATGCTTTTTCACTATCTATCCTTGTATTATGTAAAGGGCCAAATGAACGACTGCACACAGACTCAGACTCAACAAGCACAGGCTTCTTCAAAAAGAGATGAGGGAACAGAAAAATGGAGCAATCCAGCTTTGTAAATCAAGCCCGCCGGAGCGTCGCCTAGGGTAATTCCCGGATAATCCGCATAGGGAGAATTTGGTTGCAGCCGGCGGAAAGGTTGCCGGTCTATTTCATGCACACACGCAAATGCTAGATCTGTCGAATTTAGTAAGTCGAGCGAACATGCGTCGAGTGAAAAAAAAATCGGAGCTAAAAAATATCGTCTTGATTTTAGGATAGCTAAAACTTTTATATTCTATTGTGTTATGCCGTTGTTACATTCATGTAATATTAGTGAAATGAAAAATCTTTTCTTGTTTCTTTTTAGGATCTTATACATGATCATACAAGCATTAACTAAACTATTCATCTATACTGTTCATCCGTTATGCATTTGTGTCTATGCGTGCGTGCGTGCGTGCGTTTAAATTAAAATATAATCTTTACGGTCATTAACATGAATGAAATCTGTTATATTCACCTAACATTTA